CACCCACCCGGGGGGCTCACCCCCCGCGGCCCCCCGTTGACCCCCCTCGAATAATTACGTGAGGAAAATATTATCTTTTTTGTAGTTTTTTGATTTGAGAAAATCAGTTTTTCATGGAAAATACGTGATTATCCTTAAAAATTTTATTAAAATTCACACGCATTTAATTGCGAGGGGCCGCGGGGAGCCACGGGTGGGAGCCCCCCGGGTGGGTAGCGGGTAGCCCGCTTCTTCACCTGCCCAAATGGAAACCCTAGTTACAGCTTGAGATAAATAATTAAAATTCTGAAATTTCAAAGAAAAAAGTAATCTTTAAACAACATTTTTTCTTAATAATTTGAAAATATATCTGAAAGATTTAGAAAAATAAATACTGTTTTTCAAATTCCATGATTAAAAAAGTATTAACTGATTACAATCTATCCGTTCCTTGGCGAAATTAATTGAAAGATTTAACTAAAGACAATCAGAAACTTGTACCGTAGAACCTGTAATACAAGAGTTATCAAGTTCGAGCTAATTTTAATAATTTGGCCCCTATGCAAGATATCAAAAATATTCCAACGATAAAATGTTTATGATATCATGATAAACAATTTATCAGTTGACAACTGTTTGATATCTTTGACAGGAACCGAAAAAAATTAGCTCGAAAGTTCAAAGTGCCCTTCTATTAAAGGTTTTGAATCACATATCATAAAAACCTAAGTCATAGATTACTGATCAAAAATTATTTAAAACGAAAAAATAAATACTACCTGGTAATTGAATCGGAGTCTTATGACTCATTTTTGGAGGGAAATTCGGATAAAAAATAGGTCACAGTGATTTATTTCGAAAAATATGATTTTTAGAAAATTCAAAAAATAATAACTGATGTTTCAAAATTATCAGAATTTTGAAAACTTATTACGAATTTCAATTCGACATCTAAGTCGTCATCTCACTTTATTTGTTTCTCTGAATTGTTTCTCTGACGTGAGTTCCAAGAATTTTCTAGTTTTCGTCTTTTAAAATCCAATTAGGATATAGAAATATCTTGTTTAGAGACCTGCAATAGTCCAAATTTCAAAAATTACTATTTCAAAAAGTTGACTTCAAATTTTCCTGTTATGTTTAACACAATGACTGAACTTCTTTTAAACTCAAAATTAAGTTTCCCAGGAATCTGCCAAGCCATGTGTGTCTCTGTTCTTGCCACCAATCGCTTATCAGCTATCATTTTTCCAAATCGCCATCATCAGGTAATTAACTCTTAATTGTAACAAATTCGCAATCTAAATTTGCAGATTTGGAGCCCAAAAAAGCTGCGAATCGCATATGCAATTCAATTTCTGCCAGGAATGATTGTTGGAATAGCCACATTTTTCAATAGCACCCAATTGTACAGAAATTCAAAAAATGGAATAGTTCCGAAATTTAAAGAGTAGGGTTTTTCAAAAACTAACTTTTCAAATATCTGAAATTTTCCAGCGAATCCCTGGTCACATATTTTTTCCTAATTGCTGGCGTATTTCTAAGCTTGGTGTGCCTTTATTTGATTTTCGCATATTGCTATTTGTTATATGTTTTGAGAAAAAATACGAAAATGATTGCAAGCTCTGCTCTTAAAAAATCACGGAACATGATAAAGAAAAAGGAGATGAAGCTTTTCATAATGAGTAGTATAACAGGTAAATCAAGGTAATTAACAACAGGTCAATTAATTTTAAATTTTCAGTGGCAATTCAAATTTCTGCTCTGTGCCTTTTTGTGTCGTACGCCGTCTCAATTCTTGTCATTTCTTTGGACAAGTTTTATTTGCTTTATAATGCGATAAGGTATCCTATTTCATCTAATAGGACCATGCGCACTTTGAGCTCAATTATCGCGGTTCCTATCAAAGATATTAAGACGTTGTCAACTAATAAATTATTTATCATACCAAAACATTTGCTAGGAAACTTGAAAGAACAAAAGAATTACAAATCAGTTATAATAGTTCGGATCTTTTGTTTAACCGACTCTAAATAAAAATATTTGAAACCATGAAATCTGAAATTAGGAACTTTTCGAAACCGTAATTTTCATATTTCCAAATTTTCAGTGACCTCTATTCTGGAATCAATCCATATCTACTCTGGATCTCTCGGATTCCCTTCGGAAACATATTTTAATACGGATGGGACTCAAAAAAGGTCGAAAGCAGCCTTCATCTTCAGTGATTACTGTTATTGTACATTAACTTTTCTTTTAATTACTGGTTTGCTCTTTTCAATTAATGGGTTTGCAAATAAATTATTGGTACATAAATCTTGAAAATGAATTTGCGGAAATTTCAATAAAGATTCATTAAATGTTGGTTTTTAGCTAGCTTTATACTTTAATTTTTTGAAAATTCCAGAATTAGAATGTTTTGATTCCAGAATTTGAAAAATTTTCAAAAGTTTCAGAATTTTGATTTTTAGAATATGACCCGGCTCTTGCCAAATATGCTATACTTTTTTCAAAGTATATTCTTTTTTATCGTCATAAGTAAATTTTGCCAGGTGTTTCTTTTTTTTTAGTTTTTAGTCTCAATTTGGGTGGCTTATGAAAATTATCAAAGTTGAAAGTTTTTCATGTTTCAAGTACTTTGTTAATTCTTCTTGTGGTGATTGTAGTACTTTTCATCTGGGATGTGTCCATGAACACTTGCCTTCGTAAATCATTTATTCTCATAAAATCAACTGAAAAACGTGAAAATTGAAGGAAAATCATTCACTTTTCGGTCAATACTCCTCTTTTTGATAAATAAGAGTACTAATCTTCGGAAACTTTTCATTCCAAAAAAGTTATGCATTGATAGAATAGTGTTATAAAAACAATATTATCTAACTTTAAACACATATCTCGTTTCTGTTCAACTTGAAAATTATGATTTTTGGTACAATGACATAATGTGTCAAAAAATGAGTATTTTCAGTTGATAGTGATTGAGAAAATCTACTTCAAAGTCCTTTTCTTATTTCATAAACAGTTAAATCATTTGAAAACAATGAAATGCTTTTCAGTACATTTTCACGCTCCCATTCACCTTTTGGTGAATAATTCAGTTGATTTTTTGAGAGTAAAAATTTACAAAGAAAATGTTCATGAATGTCCATATTACGGCCTCTGGTTTAAGGCTTCCATTTCGGTCGGTCGAAAATCGCCGACCGCCGACCGACCACCGACCCAGCCGACCGACAGCCGACCGATTTCGTGCCTTTGCGTATAAAACAACAATTTTTGCGTACGAAGCACTTTATTTTAAGACAAACGAGGCTTTTAGTAGGTAGTTTGTCGTAAAATGCAATGCAGCGTATGCAAGCACGTTGACGCGCAAATGCACGAAAACGGTCGGCGCGCCGACCGATCGGTCAGTTCGTTCGGCTGTCGGTCGGCGGGGTCGGTGGTCGGTCGGCTAAATTTCCCGACTGAATGGAAGCCTTACTCTGGTTGTTTGAATTTAGATATTTACCTTATTTGTTTCTCATTTTTCCAATAAGAATGATTTGAAAATCAAAGAATCAAAAAAATTTCAAATGATTTTCAAAAAGTGTATAGTTTCGACTAAAATTATCGGTTTCAAAATGTCCATTTCTTGGAAATTCGGAGTTAAGAATGATTATGTAAATTTTCCGTTTTTCATAAAACCTCTAACTAACTTAACATTATAATTGAAAATGGAATTCAAATTTTGTAATCTATTTGACAAATTCTTTTTTTTGTTTTTGGAGATTAAAAAAGACATTATCAACATATCATAAAGCCTGTAATAGACGGGCCCCCACTTTGTCAAGTTTGAGCTAATTTACCTGGCTCTTATGCAAAGAAATGTGTCAACTGATAAAATATTTTTGATATTATGATCAAAAATTTATCAGTTAACATTTTCATATCTTTGACAGGAACCAAGATAGATGGACCCTTCTATTACAGGTTTCACGGTAGCCATAAGATTCATAGAGATCAATTCCAAAAAAAAAATCATCATTTTCTTGAAATCAGGCATTTCAGTCCAACATTTTGATCCCTTTTGTCCTTTATCTTTAACTAGTACCTTGATATTTTCAACAAGCCAAATTATTGGCTTGGAGAGAGTGAAATGTAAGAATTTTTTTGAAAACAGAGAACTTGAAGCGTTATTTTGTGTCAGATGATTTCTTTCTAACAGATCTCTATGGCAGTTGAAATTTTGAATTTTGAAAAGAAAAAGTTCTGTTTCAAGAATAGAATTTCAAAAATCCATAATATCCAAAATTATTAATTTCCGAATCGATTTTTTGGAGATTCAAAAAAGTTGAGATGGTTAGAGTTGTCTAGAACTGTTGCTCTTCGATTTCGATTTAAACCTTTGATTTTTTAACGTTTTGAAAATCCTTTTTTAACACTGAAAAAGCTGTTTGATTTTCATTAAAACTACCTTTAAACCTATAACAGAAGGGTCAAATAACTTTTAACTTTAGCCATTTCATCTCAATTCCTGTCAAAGGTACGAAAAAGTAGTCAACTGATAAATTACTCATCACTATATCACAAACATTTTATCTGTTGACAGATTTCTGATATCTCTTTTAGGAGCCGAGATAATGCGCTTAAACATGACAGTATGGGGTTCCCTTCTATTACAGGTTTTACGGTATAAATAGAAATTGCCTTTTAATTTTTCAATAATCCTCCTTTCAGATTTTTTTTCTAGCTTAAATTTCTTGTTATATAACCCATATTCCAGATGTCGCTTCCCCCTGAATTTTGGGCTCTTGCTGAGGCTAGCAACTCTCTTACTGTAGACGACAGAATTGTATATATCGTAGAAACCACACAATTTTGTGTGTTTTTGCTCACAATGTCCATTTATTTGATAATTGTTTGGGCGTTGATAGAAGCGCAAAATAAGAAAATCGATGAGCTAAACAGCCCATTTTTCAAATTATGCCTGTCTACAGCAGGTGTTGATATATGTGAGTTGAAGCTTTTTAATTTTTTTTTTTCGAAAATCGTAACAGTTCTGCGTCAACAGTTCTCGAAATAATTTTCGGAATTGATATGTTTCTCAAACAATAAAGAATTATTTTCAAAAAATAATTTTTAAATTAATTTTTAAATATTCCAGGGACCCTCCTAACCAATTATCTCGGCGCAATGTTTCCCAAATGGGGATGGTTCCCAACTGTGTATCTATTTCTTGGTAACCCATATGGAAAAATTTATTTATACTTTGCGTGGTGTACAGGTAATTGGGCTAATTAAGCTACCTGTAATAGAAGGGCCCGACACTGTCAAGTTCGAGCTCAATTATCTCGGCTCCTTTAAGTAAGCTACCGTAACACCTGTAATAGAAGAGCACCCAAACCGTCGACATTGAGCTCAATTATCTCAACTCCTATGCGAGTTAGCTTTAAAAAATCAAAAAACCAGATTACCGTAATTCATATGGTGGGCATCCAAACTGCCAAGTTTAAGCTCAATTATCTCGGAAATTGATGAAACACTTCTGATTTTATGATAAAAGTTTTATCAGTTGATAACTTTTTCACATCTTTGACAGGGACCGAGATAAATTGAATCAAAGTTGAATGTTATAGGATTGTTCTATTACAGGCTTACGGTAATTAACATAGCGTTTCAGGCGTTTGCCAAGCTATGGGAGTGTCAGTTTTGGCTTCTAATCGATTATCAGTAATGTTATTTCCCACAAGCTTTCATAAGGTAATCAAGAAATTTGAATTCTCGTCAACATTGAATTTCAGATGTGGATGGGATACCGGCTCTGGATAGCTATCGCAATACAGTATCTCACAGGACTGCTTATTGGTTTAGCAACATTTTTAAACCCAGTAGAACTATTTCGAAATAAAAACAATGGGATAGTCCCTAAGTTTTTAAAGTAAGTGCGTTCAAATCCGACCCTTCAGCTTTAAGTTCACATATCTCAATTTCTGAAAAAGATATCAAGAAGTTGTCAACTGATAAAGTGTTACTGATAAGATGATTTTGGTCCGTTGGTCATTTAATTTGGTCAGTTGGTCATTTTTGATATCTGTTACAGAAAATGAAAAAATGGGCTTGAAGTTATGGTCCTCTCAGAGCCGCCAATTGGCCGCCACTGATCCGTCAAAGCTTTGAACAAATATATCTCGGTTTCTGTGAAAGGTTAAAAAAAAGTTGTCAATTGATAAAATATTGCTGATATTATGATAAAAATTTTATTATTTGACCACTTTTGGATATCTTTCACAGAAACCGAGATATCTGGGCTTAAACTTGGCGGTTTACAATATTTCCCAAATTTTCAGCAAACCCATGACAAACACATTTTTCGCAATTGGTGGTGTGTTTTTGTTAATCAACTCTATTTATTTACTTTGTACCTATTGTTATCTGTTTTGGGTTCTACGTAAGAGGCAAAAGCATATGGTAACCTAGATTATTGATATAATTTTCAAATGTTTAACATAAACTTCTTTTCAGATGCCCCCAACTACCATGGTAATTAGATCCCGAACCAAAGAGAGAGCCAAGATGAGAGAGACTCGTCTATTCACAATGAGCACTATCATTGTTGGAGTCCAGCTGTGTATTTTGACGCTTTTCATTTTTAAAGGCGCAGACATTTTGGCATTCACTACTGATCAGTTTTATTTGGTTTATAATGCAGTCAGGTGAGAGATGAAGTGTTTATAAAACTACCATTTTGCAACTGGAAATAGGAAAATTGAATCAGAAAAAAGAAAAAAGATTTCTCCCCGGCCGGGAATTGAACCCGGGTCTCGCATGTGACAGACGCGGATACTCACCACTATTCTACCGAAGACACGGGAGCTCAGCAAATTTTCGGCACGCCAGGGCACAGAGGGGCACAGGATCCGCATCCAAACAGCACCGTGCCGCGTTGAAAGTGCCCTTGGAACACCGCACCCGTGCCCCTAGCAAGCATGTGGCGTGCCGCTACCGTGCCGCTGCCGTGCCCTTTCTTGAACCACCTGCGCATATCGTCTCTATCCATAGTTTCGAAAATGTTGCGAAAATAGCTTGTCATTCATTTTCATAAATTTTTGTACTTTTCACCGTTTTATGGCATTTGGTTTTGTTTTTCTAGGCTTTCAGGTGGAAAATCATGAAATATATTTCTGTTTAGTTTTCAGACATTGGCTGTACCAGATGTCCCGTTGGAAGAGACACCGAAGGAAAATAGGTGAGTTGAGAGATGTTCAAGTAATAATGATGTCGGAAATCTTTTCAGTTATAAAAGACGAGAAGGGAAGTCGTCAAACCGTGGGGGATACTGAAGAAGAAGAAGATATTTTACGACCAGCAACGATGAATATTCCAAATTAAATATGTAAGTGGGCGAGATGTAAAAAACTGAACTATTTTGAAATGACAGTGTTCAAAAAAAATGTTCGAAAGGTTAATGTTAATCCCTATGTTTTACAGTTCCGCTGATCTTCGGTGAAAACGTGCCAGACAACTTCCGATGGATTTTCGGGAAGACAATTCGTCCAAAGAAATGTGAGTTTTCATCCAATTAGTTATGTAAATAATCTTTAAAGTTCTTTCAGAAACACCCTGCCAAGCCCAACACCAATAAAGCTGGAGAAGAGGAGTACGAAAGGTACTTTCATCGAAATTCGACATCTTCGACACAATCTTCTCTACAGATTTAAATGATCGTTTTTTCTTTTTTTTTTGTTACTATTTTTTTTTGAATTTCTAATCGAAGAAACTGTTAAATTTAAAGAAAATATTGAAATTAATTGAGCCAATTTTGGGGAAAGAATTTCGAATAACGGCACACATGAGCACGGATACGGCACGGCAACGGCACGCAAAATGCATGCGTGCCCGACCCCCCGGGCACGATTACCGCGTTGCAGCGGCACCGGTGCCCCAAGTAGCGGCACATGTGCCAAAAATTTGCTGAGAGAGGAACGAGGTGGAGGGAGTATAGAAATGCGCGGCTTTCCACTGCTTGAAGAGACACGGAGAGACGGAAAGGGGTTAAAAAAAGGAATGAAAAAAAAGAAGAAGCAATTTTCAACCTTGTTTTTCTTATATTAGATCAATTTCTAGAAATTAGCTCTAGTTGAATTTTTTGTAGATTATGATGCGTTCTTTCAAATGGTAGTAGTTTCATAACAGTGGCTTAAATTTCAAAAAAGTTAAAGTTAATCTAAACTCAATAAATTTTCAGCGACCTCTATGCAAGCATCAATCCATATCTTCTCTGGGTTTTCTCAGACTCTCTTCGGAAATATATACTTCAAAGACTGGGATTTGTGAAGAAAACGAAAAATATCACATCTGTAACACCGATGTTTGTATTATAATTTTTCAAACAAATAAATCAAAAACATTTGAAAATTACTGGTTATAAAGATTAGGAAATTT